GGGCGGAGGCGCTCGCGGGCGGAGGTGCGACCAGCACCACCGCCGCCGCCGTCCTCCTGCTGCTCCTCCCCCTCCTGTTCCTCTTCCCTCCTCCTCCTCTTCCTCTTCCCCCTCTCCCCTCCTTCTCCAGCCCCTCCCTCACCCCTCCGCCCTCCGCCTCCTCCTTCCTCCTCCACTTCCCTCATCCTTCTCTCCCTCCTTGCTCCCTGTCCCTCCTATCCCTCCTGCCCCTCCTCGTCCTCGCCATCCTTCTGCTACTGGCCCTCCTCCTCCTCCTCCCCGCAAGGCTCGCGCGCGAAGGCGCGCGGGCGGAGGTGCGGCACCAAGCAGGAGCCGCCATCGTCGCCGCCGCCGTTGTTCGTAGTCGTCGTCCCTTCATCTGCTCTGTCCTCTCCGTTTCCCGCTCCTTCTCGCGCTCCTCCTCCTCCGCTCCTCATCCCCCTCGCGAAACTCATTAAAATCCTCTCATTACCTCCTTCATCCCTGCAATCCTATCTCATGCATCGTCGTCGCCCCTCTTCCTTTTTTTCTTCCCCCCCCCCCCCCCTTCTTCCATCGTCCTTTCCTACTCCTCATCCCTCCTCCTCCTCCTCCAGCGGGGCTCGCAAGCCGAGTGTATACACTGTTTGAAAATGCAGGAGGAGGTGGAGGAGGAGGATGAGGAGGAGGAGCAGGAGAAGGAGAAGGTCCCGCCCGAATCGGTCAGCACCGCATAGTGAAGTCGTGCTGGATCGGAGTGCGCGTCGGGTCGGGCCGACTTGGCGCGGGGTCGGCATTGGCTCGGAGCGGCCGCGACAGGATGCCAGACCGCGTCATGCACACCAGACCGCCGCCGCTGCCAGCGTCGTCGTCGTCCCTCCTCCTGCTCCCTCTCTCCTCCTCCTTATTTCTTTCTCGCCGTCGTCCTCCTGTCCTTCTCCTCCTCCTCCTCCTTGTCCTCCTCCTTCTGGTCCTCGCTCTCGTCCTTCTCTTCATTTTCGCCTACTTATTCCCCCGAGCATGCCACCCAGGATCCCAAACCTCCACAGCACGAAACCTCCAACAGCCGTGAACAAGGCATCCCGTCGGATAAAATATGTCCGCGGCATGCCGCCGCAGCGCGCGTTCGAAATGTCGTCTCATTGTATAAAACCTATCAGCGGCATGCCGCCGCCGCGAGCGCGCGCGCGCTGGCGCTTGGCATTTTCCATTCTGCGTCGCATATCCACACGGTGATGTTCCCGTTCTCCGATCAGAGAATGAATTTTTACATTGGGTTTTCGCCATTGGATTTTGATACCAACCTCGCTCCCATTGTATAAAACCCATCAGCGGGACGCCGCCGCCGCTCGCGCGCGCGCTGGCGATTGGCATTTGTGCATTCAGTGTCGCATATTCACATGGGGATGTTCCCGTCTTCGGATCAGAGAATGCGTTTTGTTCATTGGTTTTCCGCCATTGGGCTTTGGGATTCAACATGGCCCCCGTTGCGTAAACAAATATCAGCGGCACGCCGCCGCCGCGCGCGCGTTGGGCCCAGGCAGTTTTGCATTCAGCGTCGTATATCAACATTGTGATGTCCCCGTCTCCCGATCAGAGAATGATTTTTTTCCGTCATTTGGGTTTCCGCTGTTGGGTTTTGGAGTGCAACCTCGAAACCAGTCGCCCTCTCCAAACCCGTCGCGGGTCTGCTCGGGCGAGGGCCAGGTGAGACAGCGGCGGCTCTCCCGCCTGACCCAGAGACCCGTCCAGGATCGGCCCCCTCCTCCTCCTCATCCTCCGCCTCCTCCTCCTCCTTTTTCTCCTCCTCCCTCTCCTCCTCCTCCTCCTCCTCCTCCTCCTCCTCCTCCTCCTCCTCCCCCTCTTCCTCCTCCTCCTCCTCCTCCTCCTCCTCCTCCTCCATCCCGTTTTCCAATCAGAGAACGAATAATTACATTGGGTTTTCGCCATTTGGTTTTGGAGATCAAATTTTGCCCGGTTGCATCGACAATTTCAGCGGCAAGCCGCCGCCGCGCGCGCGCGCGAAACTGCGCCCCGTATAGAAATCGATCAGCGGCATGCCGCCGCCGCGCGCGTTCTTGCATTCAGCGTCGCGCATCCACATCGGGATGTTCCCGTCTTCCGATCGGAGAATGATTTTTTTACATTGGGTTTTCGCCATTGGGTTTTGGAGTTAAACATCGCCCCCGCTATATCAAATCTACCAGCGGCATGTCGCATCTGCGCATTCAGTATTCAGCGCCGCTTCGCAACCCAGACAGGGCGCGCGGTGCGCAGGGAGTGGTCCCTGAGCGAGCGCAGTCTCTATCCACGCTGGGATCGCAGGCCGTGGCGGGCATGACCTGGCGCCAAAAGGGGGCGCGCAGGAATCTGCCCTGGCGCGCAGGTGGCCAGGGCGGTCGCGGGGCGTCTCCAGCGATCCAGTTCGCCCCGCCCCCTTTTGTTTTTTTTTATAAGCGCACTACAGCGCTGGGGAAAACCATGTTTTAAAACTCCCCCCCCCCCCACCCCCCCCTCCCCCCACCACCACGCGCCCCCCACCCGCGCGCGCACGCACGCACACGCACACACGCACGCATTTTTAACCGCTTTAAGACATTATCTTCGAACATCCCCAAGGGGATCGCCAGGCTTGTTTGGGGAGCGATGGTTTTGACCCGCAGCCGTTTTAGCAAGCAGGACCATGCGGCGCACAGGGGGCAATGTCCAGCTCAGATTCGAACGATTTTTTTGACGCTGCTTATGTGTTTGCCTCCGGCTTATCCCGCCATTGTGCCTGGGGCCTGGGTGGTGGACAAGGGGCCTCGTGGATTTTGGTTGTGATTCCGTGGTTGGCCTCTTCTGGGTCAGGGGGGGGTTCGAGGTTCGGCTGGAGGCCTCTGCGAGGCACTTGCGCGGCCTCTTCAGGTCTCAGGCTTCTGCGAGCCTGTGGGGCGGGAGGCTCGAAACCCGAAAGATTCGTTCCAGTTCCCATTTTTTTGGCCATTCTGGCGTCGTCTTGGGGCCCTTTTGGGTCGTCTTGGGCGTGCCTTGGGCTGTCTTGGGGCCCCCATTGCGTGCTTTTGCTGCCCCATCCAGGGGTCGCGAAGGGCAGATTCGGGAGCTTAGTTGGCCGTTTTGGAAAGTCGAAAATTTGACAAGCGATATGGCCCAAGCTCCAAAATACATGCAGGGAATCGACGATCATGTTCTCTCGGAGTCGTTTTGTCAGGTTCTTTGCGGCCTCATGGGCGGTTTCATGCGCCGTTTGGGCGCGCATTGTGCGTCCGTGAGCGTTTGTTCGGTGTTTCGGGGCGCTCTAGGGTCGTTTTGGGGCGCCGTGGGGCCTCGCGGCTCCGTCTGGAGCCCCCCAGGAGAAAAAAAGACCCCAGGTGTGAGGATTGAGGCCCAGGGCCCAGGTGTTTGGGCAAACGACCAGAAGACGCGTCCACGCCGTGCCGAGCGACGCGGTGGCGGATGCTGCAGTTGACGATGTAGAGTGCTTGTTTGGGCACAGTGCGCCTGCCAGTCCGAAGCCCGTCGCCAATTCGACGCCAAGCTCTGGCTCGCCGATCCTCGGGGCGGCGTTGGCGCACTCGCCCGATGCAGTCTCGACGTCGCCTTCTCCTCAGTGTCAGTTGGCGCCGGCGTCCGAGGACGTTGCGGCGACCCCCAATTCGAAGGTGAAGATCCATGGAGCTGATGCCATTTCCGCCGTGCGCCAGCTATTATTTGGGGTGGGGGATGGTGTGGGGGGGGTCGACAGCCGTGAGCAAGCCGCCTCTTCTATTCTTCACGCGCCCCCCGCGGCTCAGCCAGAGTGAAGTTCTTTGGGCGTCGTCTAGCGGACGAGGGCCGTTGAGTTCGCCCCCCGTCGTCGCGTTCTCCAGGAGCTCCCCGCGCGGGCTTCGGGGCGTCTCCAGGGGGCAGCGAATGATCATCCGGGTGGCCTTTGACTCTTGACCTTGAATGAGCTGGCGGATCTCGGTTCCAGCATCTGGCACGCCGACGGTGACTCCTGCAAAGCCCACGCCCCCAGCGAAACGATTCTGCCCATCGTCGGCCGCGGCTTGGAAAGCGGCGAGTACGTCAGACAGCGAGGAGGGGGGTGAGGACCTGAGTGCCGACGCCGAGCCAGAGGGGAGTAAACCTGCAGAGCCGGACGCACCGTGGCCACCTCCCGCCCAACCGTATTCGTCATCCCGGGAAGCCTTCGTCCGCCCAGTCCAGTTGGTCGGCTGCGAGTGGTGGCAGCCCAAGGTCTTGGCGGCGACGAACGGCTTGCGCGAGAGGACTAAGTCTTTGAAGCTCTGCGTTCCCTACCGCGCCATGCACCCGTGCCTCGGCGCCTCAACAGACCTCCTGGTGTTTGAGGCTCGTTTGTTCCTAAACTGTCGGTTGGTGCGCCGCCCCCTTCATTCGTCGATGCGTTGCCCCCCCAGGCCCCAGGCCCTGGGCCAGTGAGGGCCCCAGGAACACTTCCCCGCCGCCACCTGCGGACTCTTCTTATTCCTCCTACACCTCCTCCTCTCCCTTGCCCCCCCCCTCCGCTCTTTTCCCCCTAGTCATCCTCGCTCCCCCCCATCGATCTTCCATCTTCCATCGTTCCGCTCCTTCTATCCCTCCTCTTTGGTTTCCTCCTTCTCTTTTGTTTCCCCCCCCTCCTTGTCCTCCTACATCTTCTCAGTATTCCTCCTCCTTGTCCTCCTCCTCCTGCTCCTCCTGCTCCTCTGTTTGTTCTCCTAACTCCTACTCTTCGTGCCCCCCATCCTCCTACCCGTCCTCCTCTGCCTCCTCCTCCTCCTGACTCCTCCTCGTCTTCCTTCTCCCCCTTGTCCTCCTCGTCGTCGTCGTCGTCGTCCTCCTCCTTCCCCCCATGCGCCCCGCCTATAGCAGAAATGAGTGGAGGGAGGCGGTGCCCTCCTTGCGTGGGGGATCTTCTGAAGAGTAAGGCGTAACATCTCAAGGCCACCTCCGCCCAGCGGGCTGATCAGATTTGTCGCTCGCCTTTCCCCGTCCTGATTTGGGCGCCGCCGCAGGCCATGGGGGTCCCCGCGGAGCCCGTCGCCGGGGCAGACTGCAAGAAGCACGCTCGGGAATACGGCGCGAAGTATTACAAGCATATGATCGGCCACATCTTCGAATGGAATTCCGACTTGGTGAATGGGCGGGGCCGCTGTGCAGTGCGTGGCGGCGAGTGTTCCATTTGCGGGATCGCCGTGGCCACGGCGTCCGGGGGCCTCCCATGCCAGCCGTGCACGCGGCAGCGCCAGAAGACCGGCAACACGCAGAAAACCCAGTCGCAAGAGATGCACCCTGGCCACGACGAAGTGTTCGAAGGTTTCCTTGACTTCTTGTCCGAGGTTGGACCCGCCCAGTGGTGGGCCGAGGAGGTCATGGACTTCGAACCGCAGTTGCATGAGTTTGCAAAGTGCTGCACACGAGCTGGGTACGCCGTCCGGGCGATCACAGTGGATCAGGTGGATTTCGTCCTCGTCCCACGGCCCAGGTCGGCGGAGGTGCGAAATGCTCGCGCATGTTTGCGCGCGTCGTGCCTGCGTGAGCGCGCGCGGGCAACGGCGCTGGGCTGCAAACATTCAGGGGCAATGCATTCGGCGCCACGGGGGAGACCAAAGGTGTACCTTGTCCCATTACTTCCTCTTCCTCCTCCTCCTTCTCCCCATTCCCCTGCTCCTCCTCCCGCCCCTCCTCCTCCTCCTCCTCTTTCCCCCCGCCGCCCCTTAGCTTTAGCTGCGCAGTGTCTCGCTACTATGGGCGCTCGCGGGCTGCATTTTTTTGAATGGAGCGCCCCGCGGGGGCCGACCTATGCGCGTGTGATTTCGAGCAAAAAGTCAGGCATTAAACCGCTGAGTGCCTGACCTTTTGCTCGAAATCGCAGGGGATCGTCCGAGGGGCGCGCGCAATGTTTTGCAGAGTTTTGCGGGCGCACCAAAAGGTTGATCATCGCTGGGTTCTCGCATGCCGCGGGGCACAAGGCCGCCGCCGACTACTTCGTGAAGGAAATGCAGGCGTCGGGGCAGGGGATAGGGCCAGCCGGGGTGGCGAAGGAGGGTGTGGCAGGAGGCAAAACGGGGTGAGGGTGACCAGCGAGGAGCCAGGCGGCGAGCGGAGGACGAGGTGCAGGATCCACCTGGTCACCAGGAGGCGGGCGAGGAAGAGGGGGAAGAGGGGGGGGCAACCGAAGAGATGGAGGAGGAGGACGAGGCGGGCGCAAAGGAGGAGGAGGAGGAGGAGAAGGACGACGACGAGGAACAAGAACAAGGGAGGAGGAAGGAGGAAGGAGGAATAAGGAGGATGAGGAGGAGGAGGACGAGGAGGAATTCGGCCGAGGGAGGAACGCGGAGGCTGTGACAAGGGCTGTTCTTAAGTCTGGACGCCTTGGGGCCTCGATCAGAGCGAACGCAGCCTGCCTCCGGTCGGCGTTGGGCCCTGGGACCTTCAAGGCGCCCGCCATCTTCCGTCCTTCCCCCTCCTTATCCCCCCTCCTCGCGATCATCGTCGCGATCCTCCTTGTGCTTCCCTCTTCCCTCATCGTCCTCATCTTCCTTGTCCTCGTCCGTCCTCCTCGTCTTGCCTCCTCGTCACTCCCCCCGTTCGTCCGCCTCCCTCCGAACCTCCAACGTCGATCAATTCCCAATTCTCGATCGATCCTCGATCCTCTGTCGGACCTCGACCCTTTTTTTTTTCTTTTTATTTGTTTTTCATCTTTTATTTGTTTATTTCATATTTTTTTCTTTTTTTTTTTTTTTATGTTGTTATCTTCCCTTTCGTTTTTTTTGTCTGTAGTTTGTGTGTGCGGCAACAGCATCGACCCTCGACCCTCGACCGAGTTCCCATCCTTGATCCACCCTCGATCCTCGGTCTTCGATCGAACCTTGATCCTCGATCGAAATTCGACCTTCGTCGAACCTCGATAGACCATGGAACCTTCACGGATCCTCGAGCCTCGATTTTCGATCCCCCGCCATCCTCGATCTTCGATCTAACCTCGATGATCGATCCTCCTCCGCCTTGTCCTCGCCACCCCCTGTCATAACCCTCCTCACTCCTCCTCGCCCCCTCCTCCTCTTCCTCCTCCTCCTCCCCCTCCTCCCGTTCATTTTCGTTCCCCCTTCGCCCCCCCTCCTCCTCTTCCTGCTCCGCATCGCCTTGTCCTCGCCACCCATCTTCCTCATAATTATCCTCAATCCTCCGCCCCCTCCTCGCCCCTCCTCCTCTTCGTTCCCCACCTTCTTTTCTCGTTCATCATCTCCCCGCCTTCGCCTTCCCATCCTCCTCTTCTTCCTCCCCCGCATCGTCATCCTTGTCCTTGTCAGCCTCCGCGTCAAGTCTCTGCCAATTGCGGAAGCAAGTCTTTGTCAAGTGGTTGATTCGTTTTCGAGGCGGTTGAAACACCACGGTATGGAGGAGCCAGGACACACACATGTACACACCCAATCACCAATCACAATAAGACGCGCTGCAAGGAACGGGGTGTGAGCTACGTCCTGGAATTTGTTGGCACACACACACGCGCATGAAAAGTGCGAATAGCCCAGCCAACACGAAATTTTAGAGAGGAGATTGAGGGACAACGTGCTGACCAGGACAGGCGACTTGTGTGAGCTGCGTCCCAGGGTCCCAGAGCTTGCTGGCACACGCATGAAATCAGATGTGAGAACAACCCACCCCGCGATAATAAACAGAAAGGACATTGAGAGAACAAGTGTTGGGGAGGAACGGGTGAGTGGTGTGACTTGTGTTCCCGAGGTTGTTGATGCACACATGAAATGTAAGAATAACCTCACCCCACGAGAGTTGTTGACTGAGAGGAAGGAGAGGAGGAGGAAGACGAGAACGAGGAGGAGGACAGAGGGGGAGGGGGAGGAAGCGGAGGAGGACGAGGAGGACGACGAGGAAGAGGACGAGGAGGAGGAAGGGGAAAATCGAGACAGGAGAGGACGGGCGAAGGGGGGAGGAGGTGCAGGTTTGGGGCTCGGGGGGTGCCCACCAGGAAGCCATCGCCTTCGTTCGCGGGCAGAAGGCGGCGGCCGCTGTCGGGGTCGGCGGAGTCGTCGACACCGCCGACCCGGATGAGATCAGCCGCCGGGCGGCGCTGCAGGACTGACCCGGGCAAATGTATTTTTTTTTGTATTTGGGGTTTTCATTTTTTTTGTTTTTTTTTTTTGTGTTTTGTCTATTCGCAGATGTCTAGATTTTCCTATTTGTTTGTTTGTTTGAATTTCTTTTTTTTTATTTGTTTTCTTTTTTTCTCTACTTCGCCCCGTGGGTTCGCCACGTCCAAAATAGAAAACAAACGTCTCCACGACCGCGGCGGGAGGTTCCCGGGGGATCCCCGGGCGATTTGCATTCTGAGTTGCCGCCCCCCGGGGTCTTGGGCGGTGTTCGGGCACCCTCGGGCCGAGCTTAGAGGCTGGAGGGGGGGGTGGAGGAGCACGAGGAGGAGGGGGTGAGGGGAGGGGAGGAGGAGCAGGATGACTGATGACCTCAGGAGGAGGAGCAGGAGGAGGAGGAGAAGGAGGAGGAGGTGGAGGTGGAGGAGGAAGCGGGAGCAGTGGCGAGGAGAGAGAGGAGGAGGGGAGGAGGAGGAGGAGGAGGAGGAGGAGGAGGAGGAGGATGGAGGAGGAGGAAGGGGGTGGAGGAGGTGGAGGAGGAGGAGGAGGAGGAGGAGGAGGTAGGAGGAGGAGGAGGAGGAGCATAAGCAGGAGCAGGAGGAGGATCGAGGAGGAAAGGGGGGGGCTGAGGAGGGGGCGGAGGAGGAGGAGGAGGAGGAGGATGGGGGGGGAGGAGGAGGATCGTCTCGGCTGTCGTTTAAGGCACGGGTAAAGTGTTACCGTTTCGCGCCCTAACAAAAGGGAACATGACATGCTCACACCTTCCACTAAGGTAAACTACAGCCCTTCCTATAAGGCAACCGTACTCCTACTGGGGGGGGCGCCCCACGATTGTGAAGCCCGTTTGACTACCCTTCTCTCATTCCCCTTCAACAGGAGGGCCGCCCCACGACTGTGAAGCCTTATGATATCCAATATCTTATCCTTTTACTTTCGTTGTCGCTTGTCCCCCCAGGCCGCCCCACGACTGTGAAGCCCGCTTAACTACCCTACTCCCTACTCTCATCCTCCCTCAACAGGAGGGTCGCCCCACGACTGTGAAGCCCGATCTAACCTACAATGCCGGGCATTCCGCGTGCCAACAAGCCCCAAACACGTTCCCGAGCAGTTTCCAGAAGCTCTCCTGTGCGCGGTCGCGTGGCGCTCATATTGTTGGATTCTTCGCCAGGGAGAAATTCCCTGGCGAAGAATCCAACCATATGTATTTATAAGAACCTCCCTAAGGGTTTGGCGACTCATGGACTTATATCTGATCGGCATCACGAGCGCGAGCCAGCAGCTCGCGCCACCCCGTTGTGAGACCGAGTGTGCTTTTGAGGGATGCTCCCAGTGGAGCTCGCATCAGTGCATATCGCTCTGCTGCAGGCTTCATTGTAGTGACCCTGCTTCCTGCCCCAAACATTCTACCCCCAGCGAAGCGCTTAGGCTGCCTCGGTCCGAGCGCAGCGGGGTGCATCGGCGATCGAAACGGTCGAAGCACTGGCACTGGGGATGAACGAAAACAACATATTATTGTTGACTCTTCGCGTATCCCCACCAGCCCATCCAGGAACGACGCCCAGGCGCGTTGAGGTGATCAGGAAGTGCGGGAGCAAAGAAGGGGTTCTCCGAACCGTGCGAAGGAGGGGGAGGAGAAGGAAGCTGGATGGATGGATGAGGGAGTGGGGAGAGGGATGATGCATAGGATGATGAGGAAGAGAAGGAGGAGTCGGAGGATAATGATGAGGACGAGAAGGAACCCCAAAAGGGCTCCCAAGAGGGCCCCAAGAGGGCTCCAAGAGGGCTCCCAAGAGGGCCCCAAGAGGGCCCCCGTTGGACCCTTCCGAAACCTTCCCGAGGGTCCCAAGAGGGCCCCAAGACGGCTCCAAGAGGGCCCCAAATCTTGTGTCTCGAATGCCGGTCCGGAGGGAGGGGGGGGGGGCGGGGGGGGGGTGTCGGGGGGGGGGGTGGATTGTATGGGGGGTTTGGTCGGTTGTGTGTGTGGGTGTTAGTTCTTTTTGGCTCTGGTTTTTTGTTTTTTGGCTGTTGTTTGGTTGTGGTTTAGTTTTTTTTCTTTTTTTTTGTTTTTTTTTCTTTTTTTTTATTTGTTTCTTTTTTCTTGTTTTGTTTTTTTTTTATTTTTTTTTTGTATCTTTTTATTTTGTTTTTTTTTTTTTTTTTTTTTTTTTTTTTTTTTTTTTTTTTTTTTTTTTTTTTATTTTTGTTGTTTTTTGTTTTTTTTTTTTTTTGTTTTTTCTTTTTTTTTTTTTTTTTTTTCTCTTATTTTTTTTTTTTTTTATTTTTTTATTATCTTTTTCCGTGTATCTTGCTTTGGGGCTCCCGTTGTTGCGAGAACGTGGACGTTCTCGTAAGATGGCGCGCCCGGTCTTACGAGAACGTGGACGTTCTCGCAAAATGGCGCGCCCGCTCTTGCGAGAACGCGACGTTCTCGTAAGATGGTGCGCCCGCTCTTGCGAGAACGTGGACGTTCTCGTAAGATGGCGCGCCCGCTTTTGCGAGAACGGGACGTTCTCCTAAGATGGCGCGCCCGCTCTTACGAGAACGTGGACGTTCTCGCAAGATGGCGCGCCCGCTCTTGCGAGTACGGGACGTTCTCGTAAGATGGCGCGCCCGCTCGTACGAGAACGTGGACGTTCTCGTAAGATGGCGCGCCCGCTCTTGCGAGAACGGGACGTTCTCGTAAGATGGCGCGCCCGGTCTTACGAGAACGTGGACGTTCTCGCAAGATGGCGCGCCCGCTCTTGCGAGAACGGGACGTTCTCGTAGGATGGTGCGCCCGCTTTTACGAGAACGTGGACGTTCTCGTAAGATGGCGCGCCCGCTCTTGCGAGAACGGGACGTTCTCGTAAGATGGCGCGCCCGCTCTTACGAGAACGTGGACGTTCTCGCAAAATGGCGCGCCCGCTCTTGCGAGAACGGGACGTTCTCGTAAGATGGTGCGCCCGCTCTTGCGAGAACGTGGACGTTCTCGCAAGATGGCGCGCCCGATTTTGCGAGAACGGGACGTTCTCCCAAGATGGCGCGCCCGCTCTTACGATAACGTGGACGTTCTCGCATAAATGGCGTCGACCGCCGCTCTTGCATCTGCCCATCCTCCACGAAGATGGCGCGCCCGCTCTTACGAGAACGTGGACGTTATCGCAAGATGGCGCGCCCGCTCTTGCGAGAACGGGACGTTCTCGTAAGATGGCGCGCCCGCTCTTACGGGAACGTGGACGTTCTCGCAAGATGGCGCGCCCGCTCTTGCGAGAACGGGGCGTTCTCGTAAGATGGCGCGCCCGGTCTTGCGAGAACGTGGACGTTCTCGCAAAATGGCGCGCCCCATCTTGCGAGAACGGGACGTTCTCGTAGGATGGCGCGCCCGCTCTTGCGAGAACGTGGACGTTCTCGCAAGATGGGAACGCCCCTCAGAACGCCCCGGGAAGCCCCGAGAGGGCCCCAAAAGGGCCCCCAACGGGTGCTACAACGCACCCCCGAATTTGTAGCACCCGTTGGGTGCCCTCCTGGGGCCCTCTTGGAGCTTTCCTGGAGCCCTCGTGGGGCCCTCTTGGAGCCCCCTGGGGGCTCCCAAAAGAATTCTTGACGCTTCGCATATCCCCACCAGCCCATCCAGGAACGACGCCCAGGCGCGTTGAGGTGATCAGGAAGTGCGGGAGCAAAGAAGGGGATCTCCGAACCGTGCGAAGGAGGGGGGGGAGAAGGAGGCTGGATGGATGGATGAGGGAGTGGGGAGAGGGATGTTGCATAGGACGATGAGGAAGAGAAGGAGGAGTAGGAGGGGAATGATGAGGACGAGAAGGAGCCCCAAAAGGGCTCCCAAGAGGGCCCCAAGAGGGTGCGGGTCATCCGAAATCCGCTTGGTCACTGTTACGGGCTCACTTTAGTTTCCAGGCCAACATGGCGGCTTTATGATTGTGGACAATACAGAAAGCCATTGCGCGCGCGGGGGACCATGGTCACCCGCGCGCGCGGGTGGCCCGCGCGCGCGCGCGGGTCACCTGAAATCCGCCCGGGCACCGTTATGGGTTCATTTCAGTTCCCAGGCCAACATGGCGGCTTTCCGATTGTGGACAATACAAAACTCCAATGCGCGCGCGGGGGACCATGGTCACCCGCGCGTGCGGGTGACCCGCGCGCGCGCGCGGGTCACCCGAAATCCGCTCGGTCACTGGTAAAGGTTCACCATTGTTCCCAGGCCGGCATGGCGACTTCTCGAGTGTGGACAATACAGAACCCCCCAATGCGTGCGCGCATGGTCACCCCGTATCCTTCAAGGTACCTTTAAGGGCTCAGTCGTGTGCCAGGCCAACATGGCGACCTTTCAATGGTGGAAAACGCATCACTCCCAACGCGCGTGCGCGCGCGGCGGTGGCCATAGTCTAACTCCTCGCGGTCGTCTGGGAGCCAGGAAGCACTGCGAACACACGCGGTACTTATGCATTCGTCTGGCAGCCCCCACTTCCGTCTAGAAGCAATATCGAAGCCCCAATGGAGGCCCCAACGTCTCCGCGGGCGGTTGGGAAGGGGCCAGCAGCAGGGGAGGGGCGAGTGCCCCCCTGACCGCGACAACCCTGGACCCCCGAGGCACCTTGTCTAAAATCCTCGACAGTGTCGAAGCCGAGCCAACATACCAACATCGTGAGTCGAGACTCCACTTCACCACTGTCGAAATACAAGAACGCCAGGTACTGCAGCGCAGCAGTCGTCGCGCTGTATGCGGGGCTGGGCAAATCCAACAGAAAAGGGCGCGCATCGCGAGAACGTACATCAGCAGAGCAACCGATGAACAACTCAGTGAGGTATCTGATCGGCCCCAGAAGGATAATCCAGATTATCAACCCGATGCTGTTGTCGACGTCGCTGAAGAGTCGCCTGGCCTTCTGGAAACGAACCCCAGATCTGGCGGCGCCTGCGCGGCAAAAGGGCGCGTTGGAATGCCAGTGAGCTGTCTGGCAAAGGCTCTGTGCTCTTCTAGGGCCCCCCCGCC